TTATGGTATCAAATCGCTATTACATCAATTCTATATATAGCATAAATGTGACTGAAGTATTGTTTCAACCTTTATTTTTAATTTTAGAAATATATGTATAAATTAATATTAAAAGTATTTTTAAAAGTATTATAATTTATTATCAATAAGATTTTATATATATATATATATATATATATATATATATATATATATATATATATATATACATATATATATACACATATATATATATATATATATATATATATATATATATATATATATATATATATATATATATATATATATATATATATATGTATATATATATATACACACATTAGGTAAGCAAAGCACAATTTATAAAAATGTCTGGGAGAGGTAAAAATAAAACTCAGCGTATGACAATGTCTAGTCGTGCTGGAACTTTGTTTCCAGTTGCTCGAATTCGTCGATATTTGCGAGGCTGTACATCTAAGATGCGAGTTGCAGTTGGTGCTCCAGTATATCAGGCAGCAGTAATGGAGTATCTTTCTGCTGAAATTCTTGAGTTAGCTGGGAATGCTGCACGTGACAATAAGAGAAACAGAATAACACCAAGACACATTCTTCTTGCTATTGCAAATGATGAGGAGCTTAATAAGGTTTAATTTATAATATGTTGTGTTATGTTAATTAAAATTTTTTACATTATAAAGTTTACGGTAAATTAAGGTAATTTTTATTTACGGTAAGTTTAAGTTTAAGGTAATTAAAAAGTTAATGGATTGTTTTTGCATAATATGCAAAAACATTCTATTGGCCCCGTATTTTAAAACAAGGCCCAATGCTGGGGTCTTTTGTAGCAAACCCCTCTCTAATCGTGGCTCACACCATTAAAGAGGGCTCGGTGTAGTTAAGATATTTTTAAAATATTATAGTGTCTGTATGATATTTTGTTAACTACAACATATTTCCATTAAATGGTCACATCGGTGAATTATGATAAGACGAAAAATATTTAAATGATAAATTTTTGGGTATTTTAAAATATAAATGTTTGTAGCGATAAAACTCTGAATGAAGATTTTTTTTTAATCATAAATCTTAAAATCATAATTGCTCGTCCAAATTGAATAACATTTTATATTAATACGATTTTTAGGTGAAATGAACATTATAGTTTAACAATATGATCTGTTCTAATCGTAATCGAGGAGGGAGATGGAACTATTTTGCATTAAAAAAATTTTTTTTGCAGATTTTTTATTTTGACTTGTTTGATTTTTCAACCGAACAAGTTTTTTTTTATTTGATTTTAAATTTTTATTTGTCAAAAAAAAAAGTTATATCATAACATTTGAAAATAATACTTTAAATAAGAAAGTTATATTTACAGTATATATACTTTAAATAAGAAAGTTATATTTACATTTGCTATTTTTAATGCTCTTTGCATGTTAATACCATGAGGACTAAAAACTAAAAAAAACAATGAAAATAAATTGAAATAATATGGCATTAAAAAATTGTCAACAAATTTATTTGAAAGAGAGTCTATAAAATAGTAATATTAATATTAAAAAGGTTGTTATATTTATACAAGGTCACTGCTCAAATGAGCTATCATCTCTATTGATTCCATCAAACAAAACTCGTTCTTGTTTGACACATCATTTTATAAAAATTCATTCTTTTATTGTGTCTGTTCCTTCATGCTCTAAAAACTTTTATTCATCTAGTTCTTTACTTGCACATTAATTCTTAGGAGCTCTCTCCCATCTTCATGCTTTTCTGACTCATGCAACCTTCAACTTTTAAGTCTTCTGTCAATCATTTCATTGCTTTTTAACACTATTCTTTGTTTTCTAGTAACTTCTAACTCAATAGTGGTTACTTGCAGCCTTGTTTATTGTTTGTTAAAAGTAAATTAGTTTAAAAACAGTACAAGCATTATTTCAACTGACATTTTCAAGGTTATTTAAATTCAAATCAAACTTTTTGAAGATATCACTAAAATCAACTAACTTTTCATGCCTTCGCGTTTAGTTTTTTCTTTAAAATAATATTTTTGCGATTTGTTTTTAGGCAATTTTGATGTGAAAACATCCAGAGTATGCTCTAAGTCTCATATTTTGCTGATTTTCTGATTGTTAGATTGTTTAAAGGGAAATTATCAAAGATTGTTAATTATCAAGATTTTATATGATATATAATTTAGTGTAATATAACTTATATTTTGGAATTTTCATTTTTATTTGAATAATTTGACCTCTAACATTAACAAAGACTAATTGCAAAATTTGTTAAAATTTGTGATTAGTCTACGCAATACTTTAATTGTGCAAACTTAAAAAATACTCAAATAAAACAAAATAAGTGTTAATTAGTAGTTCCTTAACTTATAAACTTATAAGTATTTTCATTCTGCCTATAATTACAACTCTTTTTTTTTTATTTGTAAGTAATTTAATTTAGAATAATAAATTAAAAAAAGAATAAATATGAAGTAATCTTTGTTGAAAACAATTTTTATATTGTCAAATCAATAAAACAGTTTTGTTTTATTGTTGTTTTACAATATCAATTCAATAATCTTTAAAAATGTGTATGTATATATACAGTCAGCGAAATTCAGGTCGGCATTTGGCAATTCCGACGCAAAAGCTGACCTACCTTTGCTTTAGGGCGGCATACAACTGCCAACCTGAATATCCTAAAGTGTCAGCATGCAAATTGAAATACATGTAAAAATATATAATATTTGTAAAATATTATTTTATAATTTTTTTATTGTAATTACTTGCTTTTCAAGTTGACATTCATTCATTTTCTGTTCAATTCATTTTTTCTTTTTTTCTCAAATTTATTCAAGCATCGCAAAGTTAAAAAATATTACTATTTAAATGCCTGTTGTTTTCACGCTTTTTAAGCGCAATTATTATTTTATTAAGTTATAAAATCTAATTTTAATTTATTTTATTAGTTAAAACCATATAACTAATAAAATAATTAACATGTTTTCAGTTTTTTTTTTTGATATTATTCAAGATCAGAAAGTATATTTGGTAAGTTTAGCCTTGTTATAGTTATGTTAGACACATGCGGAGAAGAAACATTAGTTACAAAACTTTTTCTTAATTTGATAAAAGTTAAAGCTTCCATTAAATTGCAACAGATGCAACTGTAATACAGTAAGCAAACTCAAAGCAATTTTTATATATAAAAAAAAAAAAATATTTTAGTATTTTTAACTTTTGTTTTCCCTCCATCAATTTACATATAATTCCAAGTTAAACAACTGGATATAAACTGTCTACTCATTTTGTTAAACAATTTGCCATTTTAAAGTTTTCCCCTACAGCACATAAACTAAATTCGTAGTTCTAAACGAGGTTCTTTCTATGAGCAATCTAAAAAACCATTTAAAATGTAATAAATAAACTATGACCATTTTTTTTGAAAAAAACAACTTCAAAACTAAAAAATCACTAATTCATAAATTTATATACTTAATTTACTACACAAAATTTATTTGCTACATTCATTAAAATATTATTGTCTAAAGATATGCTATTATAAACCAATCCCTTTATAATTATTTAATCATTACCCCTATCGTAAGAGAAAGCAAAAAATCCTTTTGCTTTCTCTTACGATAAGGGTAATGATTAAATAATTATTAAAAAAAAAAAAGATTTTTTGCTTTCTCTTACGATAGGGGTAATGATTAAATAATTATAAAGGGATTGCTTTATAATTATTTATAACACGCTTGTGCCGACCTAAAATCCTTTGAATTTCGCTGAGTGTATCAGAGATTTTCTTTTTCCGGACATTTCCGGAATTCCTGATATTTTTTTTAACTTTTAGTTTTTCCAGATATCCAAAACATTTTTAATACATAAATGTTGAGGTATATTTTTTTGTAATATATTTGTTTTTTAAGCTTTTTCACTCATCACTTATAGAAAAATTATAAAAAGTGTCAAAAAAATTTAAAACAACTTAGCTAAAAGCAAAATTAAAAAGAAAATAAGGGAAAACATATTCCAGATATTTTATTCAATCAATTTTCCGGATTTTTAAAATATGACTTGTATGATCTATGCAGCATGCATATATATATATATATATATATATATATATATATATATATATATATATATATATATATATATATATATATATATATATATATATATATATATATATATATAAAATATGCTTTGTTAGAAAAATCAAGATGAATTTATGCTTGTTCTTTTACTTCAAGGAAAAAATGTTATTCGCTTTAAGTAAAAAATGCAGTTCACTTATTTTTTTCTATAATCCCAATTTTTAAATCTAGTTAAGGTTGTTGCTGTTGTGGTTGCAATAGGGTGAGATAAAAGACTTAGTCTTTTTGATGTAGGTTAAAGACTTTAGTTCAATGACTGACATCAACCCTCTGAATTAAAAAAACTGAGGTTGGCAATAAATTTCCGACCTCAAACTGTTAGAGGATGGCATTAAGTTGGTAAAAGAAATTCGACACAAAGGGTTCATCATTGCTGAATGCTGACCTTAATTTCAAGGGCTTCTGCAGTAGGGGTGCAGAGTGCTAAGGGAACTCTCTATTTTTTTTTCAAATTTTTTTGAATAAATCTTATAAAGCATATCAATTAAACTAAAGTAGACGTTTTAGTCTAAACTCGTTGTCTCCATTATTTCTTTGTTCTTAGAGTCTTGATATATGCTGCCCTCTGCTAGCATAATAATTTATTTCATGCACGTTTAATTCATAAAAGTTGCAGTATATGATGTCATTGTGGGTTTTTTTTTTAAGAATCCAAAGTTTTTTTTTCTGACAATTAGCAAATTATTTATTTGTATAACTTTTCACTATATTCCAATTAATATTCGTAATAGAATTAAAAAAAAAACAATAAATTTGGTTCATCAATCGTCAGGTTCATCAATCATCAGATATTTTTTAAATTATATATTAAATTATATATTAAAGTTTAAATATTTGCTTTCTTTTTTTAGGATTTATTTTTTTTTAAGATTTATTTGTTGATTATATGAAATTTTTAAATAAACAAATTTTTCTTGTTAAGAATTAAGTTAGTTTAGTGCAGTGGATGTTGTAATGCACTAATATTAACTAATATTATGGAGAATTTGAACCCGCTACCTAGATAGTGCAGCTATCTAGGTAGCGGGTTCAAATCCTCCATAAGGAACTATTTTCCTCTTGAATGCTTTAGATTATAAACTCCACTCTATTGGATTATCTCTTAAAAACTGCATTGGATACAATTCAGATGATGCTTTAAATGTTATTGGCATACATAACTCAGTCTGGTCTTGTGTACTAACTAAATTACCTAACTGTATTATGAGGTGCATTTGTCACTCTAAACATAGATGAGTTTTTTCTGGAAATTCCCGGAATTCCGGAAATTCACTTGAAATGCCTTTAATTTTTCCATTTGTTCCGGATTCCAATTTCCGGATGTTTTTTGATACAATTTTACATATTTTTACATGTTGTTTTTTTTTACATATTTTTACATGTTTTTACATATTTTACATGTTTTTTGATACAATTTTACATAGAACAACTTTTGCATTTAAACAAATATGTTTTCTATAATAAAAATTTTCACAAGATCAACTTTTTAACAATTTTTTTTCTTTTTTTTTTTTGCTTTTTAATTCATTCGAAGTTTTTCGAGTATTAAAAATTTCCTTTTTGTAAAAAGTTAAATAATCTAAATTTGGTTTTAAAATAATCTAAATTCCGTTTTTCAGTTAAATGAATCAATTTTTGATAAAATAATTTTCCGGGATTATCATAGAAGAAAAATTTCCGGAATTTTCATACAGTCAAATACTATTCAGGGGTGGATCCAGCATTTTTTGGTGTTTGAGATCGCTAACTTCCAGACATGTAGCTAACTCCAAACATTTATATGTTTATAGTTATGTCAAATAAGGATGGTTTGCAAAAAATTGCGATGATTGGAGCCTGGGAACAAAAAAGCTCCAAAATTTGAGACGTACCTGCCCCAAACGTGAGAGCAACAAATTGATAAAATATTTTTTGTACTATTCTCAACAAGACTTATATTTATCAAGAAATTTTAAATTTCATAGTAAAATATTTTAACGCTCAAAAATTATGACCATATAAAAATTGTAACCCCCTCAAATTGAGGGGGATTCAAACTTTACATGGTCATAATTTTTGAACGCTGAAATATTTTACAATGAAATTTAAAATCTATGGATAAATATAAGTCTTGTTGAGAATAGTACAAAAAATATTTTATCAACTTGTTGCTCTCACATTTGGGGCGGGTACGTCTCAAATTTTGGGGCTTTTTTGTTCCCAGTCTCCAATCATCGCAATTTTTTGCAAACCATCCTTATTTGATATAAGTATAAACATATAAATGTTTGGAGTTTGCTCCATGTCTGGAAGTTAGCTATCTCAAACACCGAAAAATGCTGAATCTGCCCCTGCTATTTATGTCTAAATCTTGTGGTGCAAAATGCTTTTAATGTAATTCCATCTCCAGTCGGCTTTCTTCTGAGTGGTGTTCTCCAGTTTTTTAATAAAGAGCATTCTTCATTGAAACAATTTTCAAAAACTATTTGAACTCATGAATCTAAACAAGGGATGAGTAGGAACCCCAACCCGTTTTCAGAAGTTTTCTACAAATCATTGGTTGGTTCAAGGAAAGTGTTTCTATAACTTGCTTGTGAGATGGCAAGAACTAAAAGCATTCTTTATTTGTGCTGAAATAAATGCAAACTCTGAGGTCTGTTACAAAATTTCTTCAATGAGCAAAATATTTCAAGACAGCACCCTTTACCTCTGTTGTTTTTCTCGCAAGGGCTTTGTACTCCTTCTTCAATTTGATGATTTAGGAGCCGAATTCTCCTCAGAGTGCCAGATTTACATTCAAGGACAACCTTCAAATGCAAAACTGAATGCTGAAGAATCGGTCAAAAATGTAAAAATTCGCTTCCGTGATTTTCTTCAGAGGGGGATAACTGAGCTTGAAAAAAGACTTCCAGAGAACAGATTAATTTTTCACGGCTTGTCAAATCTGTCTCCAATAAAAGTTCTATCCCAAAAGAAAAGGGTTCGATTTTTAAACCTACCTTTTCCTCATCTTATGGGTACAAAAAGTCAAAAAATTAAACAATACAGAATAAGTCAGTATCTTTAAATGGACTGAATCTTTGAGGGACTAGGTCAACATTTTTAGACATCCTACTTTTTACGACATTTCCGACTACTGTCTTGCTTGTCTATGTTTTCCTGTTTCTAACTGTTTTGTTGAGTTTTTTCACATGTACTCTATGTGAAAACAGAGAAACAGAATGCCAAACCAAGTGTTTGATGCAGTCATTCACATAAAATCTTATTTAATAAGTCGAAAGATTTGTTGTAAAGATTTTAGCATTCCCGATACAATGATCTCAAATGTTAGAAATGAAATTTATGCAACAGATGCATACAAAAATTAAAGAAAAAGACGACCTTCATATACTGGTGGAACTTTGTTAAATGTTTTAGATATTAATACTTGACAAATAAATTTTTGGATAAAATAGTTCTACTTTACATCTTTTTTTTACTCTTTTGGCTTGTTGCAGAAAAAAAACCTGGCAACCCTGTAGTGAAACAGTTATATGTAATTTTTCTTATTGTTAATATTATAATATTTGTTAGGTGCTAAATATTTTTATTTAAAAATAAAATTGATTAAAGATGGTTTTTAAAGTTTTGAGTAAAGTTCTTTTAGAAAGTTCTTTAATATTTTACACATTATTTTAATAAAATTTTTTAAAACAATTTTACCTATTAATATTGAAAAATATTTTTGGTTCATTTAAATTTTTTTTTTTATTTCACAGCTTTTAAAAAATGTTACAATTCCATCTGGTGGTGTAATGCCTCATATTCAACCTGAATTACTTAAAAAAAAGGATGGTGGCAAGTTTGTTGTGTCTAATCAAGAGAAATTTAAGCCTCAAGTGCTTAAACCATTAAGCCCTGGAATTCCTAAAAAAAAGAAAATCGAGAAAGAATTTGTTAAGACTGCTACTAAAAAGGCTTTAGAAGCATCAACAAGTAAAAAAGTTGAAAAGGTGTGTTTAGAATTGTTTTTTTTTTTTTATTTTTTTATTTTTTTTTTTACTTCTGTTATTATTATTTAAAGGATAAAAATCCTATATATGTGTGATTTAAATGCTTGTTAAAACATTCTAAGAGAAAATAATTTAAATTTTTTTAGTCTTTTTTTTCTGAGTTCTTATTTATTTTTCAAAAAGCTAAAAAGAAGTTATTGTTTTTTTGTTTTTTATAAGTTTTATTTTCTTTCCTTAAATTTAAATAGTGTACATATAAAATACTTTCTGTTTTAAATATTTTAGACATTGTCAGCAAAATATTTTTTCTTGTATAACTTCAAAGCTTTTTAAGCATAGCTAATAAATATAGTCATTTCATTTGTATTATAGTAGAAAAATGCATCAATATAACTTATGAAAAAAATGATAAAAAGAAATCGAGTTTTGAACAATACAAGTAATGAATAGAATTTTTAGAAAATTTGTATTTGAAAAAAGATAAAATTAAGTTTTTATTTTTGAGTTTGTTTTTAATTTGAAAAATGTTTTATCAAAGGGTCACAAATAATTTAGTTAAGGTTGCATTACCATTTTACCATCAAAGTACCACAAACTATCATTCAATTTACATGTATCTATTTTCATCTAAAAAGTCAAATCAAAATTAATATATATATATATATATATATATATATATATATATATATATATATATATATATATATATATATATATATATATATATATATATATATATATATATATATATATTTGCTAATACAACTTTTGCAACCCTTTAACTCAAATACAAGCTTTGATGAATAAGCCTGTTTTGCAGTAAAACAAGTTGAGCATGGAACTACTAAGGATGTGACAGGCATTAAACTCAGAAAAAATTTCTCATTTACAAAGTGACTAGAGTGTTTGTTGGTTCTTCCTACCCCTACTCCCTCCTCCTCCCCCCCTCCCCCTGAGCAATTAACTTGATTCTTCACCTTCACAAAAGTCTTATCACTCATTTTAGACTTTCTTATGATTTTTATTTTTTATTCAATGACATCATCTTCTAACTGTTTTTATTATCACATCTCTCAGGTCTACGAAACTGGGCGGCTCCGTTGGTCACTTTTTGCGATCATTGTGTCGTATAAACAAAAAATTTTATTAAAAATTGATTGTATTAACTGAAAACAAAAACTTTTAAAACGGAATTTAGATTATTTAACTTTTTACATAGCTATCACAACACTACTACCGCATCACCACTACCACAGTTACTACAGTTTTAAAAAAACTTCATTCGATGCCACATGTTTAACTAATAAAGTTTTTAGTCAAGCTTAAAATCTTACAAAAGTTTAAAATAATTTTTCATGTATAACCAAATATATACTGATTCTTTGTCTATATTTTAAAAAGAAGCTCTTTTCGATTCAGATGTGGTTTGAAATATAGTTGTTTATTTATTATATTTAGAAAATTTGAGCAGTCTTGCAGTCTAACAAAACTTACTTGTGTGGTATATGACCACACAAGTAATTTAACATTTTGAAGACTTGATCACAGCTTTTAATATTTTAAAAACAAATAAATCTGTTAATGTAAAAAACAAATAAAAGGTGTTTAAATAAAGCTGTTATAAAAAGATTTGAATCAGGGCTGCAAAAGCCCTGATTTATATATACATTTTTTAAAATAAAAAACAAAATACAAGTAAATTTTATTTAGTTTTATTATTATTATTTTTTTATATCAGTTAAATGGAAAGTTAAAAAACTGCTTTTCTAGCATTTATTTCAGCAAAGCTGTCAATAACATATTCATAATTTATATTTTTTGCTTACTTATGTTCTATTGGAAGAGGTAATAGATAAATAAGCCGTTTTGTTCTGTTGTCAAATATAAATAACTTTTTATTAATTTTAATTTGTTAAAAGATCTTTTTCCTGTTCACACTAACGTGTATGGTAGGGAGTATTTTAAGACAATCACATATTTGAGGAAGTTTTTTCTTCTAATAAACCTAAAATATGTTTGATATTTCTTTCGCTAAGTCTTTCCATAATCAATATTTTTTTACATTTTTTGGATCCCTTTGTGGTTAATGACCTTGTTGTAATGTTGTCTCCAGTTATTTCCAACACCATTTTTACAAAAACCTGACAAACATTGTATTTTGTCAGGTTTTTGTAGAAATTGTATTCAGCTTCCTCAAAAAAAAACATAACAAAATAAAGCTTTTTTTTTCAATACTTTACACTAGCCGAACCCATTGCATGGTTTCTGTATTTAGGGAAAATGTTGATCAACTACAGTTAAATAGTCACGATGTCAAAATGTAAGCGTTTTGCTTTCACCGAGGTTCCTTTTTAAATTCCCGCACATCTCATTACATTGTGTCATTAGCATTTTCAAAAATCTCCTTGAAGAGAATAAAGAACTGTTTTTTTTTGTTGTTGTTGTTGTTTTATTATTTATTGTTCTGCATGTTTATTATTATCTAAGGTATTTAATGATTTTTCTTTTTCTAGTCATTTGTAACAAACATGTTTTTTTATCATTTATATTGTTTTGAATTGAGTTTCTATTTGACCTAAGCCAATTTAAATCCCGTAAACATTTTTCTTTTTCTTAAAATATCATTAACAGTTAAAATTCCATTTTATCATTTTAATTATGTTGTCACTAAACTTTTTTTAAATATATGTTGTCACTATTGCAGCATTGAAATATTATTTTATAAAAATGATATTTAATGTTTTTTATTTTTGCTCCTGAGTTTTAATATAAAACATGTCTAAATGTAGTGACTTTTTAAGTTCTATCAATTTGAATTCATTTATAGATTTTCAACTTATTTAAACATTTTCAAAATGTTCAAATTTTCAAAACTATTTAACAGCCATGGTCAAACTGTAAAAAAAAATTATTTGCTTGGTCATTCAATAACAATTGAACTTTCAGAAACTTTAAAAAAAAAATAGACAGAAAAAAAACGAATTCCATTAAATAGTTTGTGTATTGCGACAACTTACAAAAGTTTTTCTAATAGAGATAACCTCTAAAATAAAATAATAACAATAAAAATTTTATATCAAAAAGATTTTTCAATTCAAAAACATTTTAGTCTTAAGCTTTTACTATACTGTATAGGTTATACTAATTATGCTATTGATCCTTTAAACTATTTTTTTTTAGCCCAAGAAAACAAATGTAAAGTCTGATCCAGTGTTTGCTGTTTTATCTGAGAAGAATCTTTATCTTGGTCAAAAGGTAGTTTAGATATAAATATTACAGTATTTTATCCATGGTCTAAAACTTTAGATTTGAAAAGCTGGATCATACACATACTGATATCAGCAAACATCCAAGTTTTTTATAAGGCGTTATATAATTTACCATTTTTAAACATGTACTAACTTCTCAGTTAATGTATATTTTTGTTATAGAATTTTTTTTATATGACTTATTCTGATTTACGGTTCATAATCGTAAGGTTCAGATAGATACCAATGGTGTTAATGGTAGGTTCGTAGTTCTATATGTTTGTATTTATTTTATACATGATTCTATTGATTTTAATAAACTTTTTTAGCTGACAGTTGTTCAAGGTAATATTGCTGAAATGAAGTGTGATGCTCTCATTCATCCAACTAATGCTACTTTTAACACGACTGGGGAAGTAGGTAAGAATGACGTGTTTTTTAATTTTAAAAATTTGTATTTTATATTTCTGATTGTATTTTCATTGCTGTGATATAATTTAATAACATTCTTTATAACATGATACTTTTTTATTAGTAATTTATATCAGTTATTATTCTTATTTAATTATCAGTATTTTTTATAAAGTTTATTATTTTTCATTTTGTTGTATTGAGTTGTTATTTTTTAAAAATATATTCCATCTTATAATTACTTAATTTTTTTTTTTTTTTTAGGAAGTGCTTTATTGAAAGTTGGTGGAGAAGAGCTGAAAAAAGCAATTAGTGCTTTGCATAGTTCTCATGGAGACCTTGCAATGTCATCAGGTTTAATTTTTTTCTATTTTGTGTTTATTTTTATGCGAGCTTAAGGAAAAGGGAATGTGAGAAGAATTAGAAATGAGCTAAAAGAAATGTAGGTGAAGCGTGAAACTGATAAAGTTAACTTTGATCTGATCAATGTTAACTTTATTAGTTTCACACTCTAAACTTTGACTCTATGTAATAATTTTTTTTTTTAATTTAATTCAGCTTTACTTGGCGATAGTGTGAACTTAAAAGCTAAACATATAATCCATGTACATAGTCCTACTTATGTTAGTGGAGGTAGCTCCGAGGAAGATCTTGAGAACGTTGTGAAGAACGCTCTTACTCTCGCCGATGAAAAAAATGTTGCAGTCATTGCTTTTCCTTCTATTGGTAGTGGAATGTAAGTTTTTTTCTTTAGCCTTTTTTTCATTTACGTGAACTTTAGATTTTTATATTGGTTTGAAGAATACATGTTGATTTATGAAAAACTAAATGTTTTTTTAGTAATAGCTTTCCGAAACAATTAGCTGCCCAGACGATTTTAAAAGCAATATCAAATTATTTTGTTACTGTCGTTTCATCGTCTTTGAAACAGATATATTTTGTTCTCTATGATATGGAAAGCATTGGTGTATATACGACAGAGCTAGCCAAGCTAGGTTAACTTGTTTGCTATGTTTATTACTCAGCAGGGTTATACTTAACTAAAGATAAGGATTTTAATCTATTTTAACGAACTATTAGGATTTTAACAAACTTTATTTTTATGGTATTCTGTTTTCTTTCTGTATTGATATGGTATCAACATTAAAAATAACCTGCTAACAATGAGATCTACTGTATATTTTTTTTTTGAACACTTACTTTTGTGGCTTATTTTTTATCTGTTTTGTTTTTATCTGTTAGTATTTTTTTTGTTTTTTTTGTTTTGTTGTTTTTTGCTTTTTATTACTAAAACATTCTTTAAATTATTTTTATTTTCAGTTGGTGTTTTATTTTTATCTTACTAGTATATAACTCAGTGGCGGACTGATCCCAGGGAGCGCAGTGAGAATTCCCGGTGGGCCGGTATAAATCAGGTCGCTCAAAAATTTCAAAATGAGTGAACGCAAGAAAAGAAAGGGGGGAGCTGAAAATTATTATTTTCTCAGGTTTTATCAATTTTTAACCTGTTTCTATACTTTCTTTTTCTTTTATGTGAGCCGGACAAATGTAAAATTCCCGGGCCATTCATCAATGCATGGATATAAATATATATATACACACGCCGTTTATTAGTGCTGAGAAAAGTAACTTTTAGACATAAAGCTTTCGCATTTAATTAAGACTTAATTAGACATAACTTTGTAATGTCTAATTAAGTCGTTAAAATATTTCTCCACACTATCTGTCCAGAAAACTGAAATTGAACGACTTAGGTGGCATTTTATTTGCACGAAGAAAGAATAACATGAACCAAGCTTCCAAACTTTTCATTTTTGCGTTTGTGTCTCGTTAAATAAAAATCGTGTCAAAATATTTTTCGATGAAATTAATTAAAATCGTTTGAATTTCCTCCACGCCTCTGAAAAAAAAGGTTTTTATCTTTTCACAAGTAAATAAAACCTTTTCTTTAACAATTTACGTGATCATGTATTTAGCAGTGACGCCGATGCTCGACAGTAGCAGTCAAATGCTGGCTCAGAAATTAGATGTTCGTGGTTCGACGCCGGTTTTTGTCCAATAGAGTCCAATTAAGCAATATTGGTAAGGAAAATGGGATGAGTTTCAAAGTAATATGTTCCTCCGCGGTGCTCTGTGATAAGACCGATATGTCTTGGTGCTCCTTGATAACTTTGAAAAAAAGAGTTTTTTCTTCGTTATAACATTTTCGGATTATATTTTCTGTAATCCGTTTACTCATTCCAAGAGATAAATATTGTCAATTGGGATCCTGCACATAATGGGATCCATACATAAATTTTGCATTTAGTGAAAGTTCAGAATCAAGATTAGAGCCAATGTCTCAATATCCTCAGCATATAATTATACGATATTTATAAACCAACTCTTTATAACTGATAATTTAGTTCATTCAGTTTTATGATTTAAGCAAGACTTGAGATGTTTCCCCTCAACTCTTTCAACAACAGCTAGAATTAAAATATTTTTTACACCTATTCTTTTCACTTCATTTGCTGATGATGCTCCATCTTTTATTATAGGTAAATATAAACCTTTATATTACAGAATTATTAAAATTAAATCCTAATATAAAGAATGCATAGACTCGTAGAAGATCTCCTGGTCTTGTAATCAAAAATAAAAAAAAAGGTCATTTTGGAATGCATTTTTAAATATTGTACGCGTGACTCGTAGAAAACCACTTGCTCTTGTCATCGAGAGCCGCTTGCATGTTAAATAAAAGTATACATGGCCTTCACGAAACATAAATGTGAACATAGTTTAAATATCGTGTTTAAGTTAAATTTCTTTCTACTAAAAATATTTGAAAAAGCTATAATAAGTGATTTAAAAAAAAAAATTCAAATCACTTATAACAATGATTTCTTTTAGTTTTCTTTTAAAGAAATAATAACTTCATTGACGAATAAAGTCAAAAAATTTTCCAATATTTAAATATATTTTAATTTTGGTTGTCGTATAGAAATTATTATTTCGTAACATATATTTACTTTTTTTCTTTACATGAATACTTTCAGGTATTTAATACACGAGAGGGTACGTTTATAATTTTTGGAAATTTTTCCCAACCACTCCAAGCTTAAAGCCAGACTAAATTTTGACAAATCTGGATTTATCAAAAGTTAAATTTTTGTTTATTTCTTAATATAATATAAAGCTTATGACAATATTAAATCCTATTAAAATTATGATGAAACAGCTGTTTAAAAAATGCGCATTTGACCTCAAGCTACACTAGTTTATTCGTGTTTTGTTAAAAATTATCACTCACCTATTTATGAAGGTCCCACCCCCCGATTATTAGATCTGGGCTAATCACGTGAGAGTATATATAACCATTTTAGCAAAAATAACCCCATTACCCCGAAAAAATTCTAAATAAGCTGAAATCTGGCACATACTCTTGTAATATCATATAGTAACACCAAAAAAAACCTCGTTGATAGTCCTTGGGGAAAATGAGTTATTAACATTTTTCCATAATGCTGAGTTTTACTTTTTACGTTTTAACGTCATAAAATAGGTTTATACTAATACCAAATTAATCAAAAAATTTTTGACTTTAAATATTGATAAATTTAAATGAGTGAAACAATTAAAAGTTAAATTAAAAACTAAAATATGTCAAAAATATTTTGTTCAAATACTTCTTCGTTGTCACTTTCGTCACTTTTGCCTTCGTTCGTGCTCGACTGTATCACTTTTTCCTAAAATATGATGGACAAAGAATTGGTAATAAATTAAGTAAACGCCTTCTTTGACACATTTTTATTATATTAATATGGTAATGCAGTACATTTTTGTTATATTACTGTTATACTTACGCTATATGTCCTTGACATTCCCCACATGCGTCTGAACATGAGTCCCATTTTGTGACAACTACATTGATTTGTTCCGCACTGATTTTCAGAACTATCTTTGCATTTAGATCTAATGAATTGAAACAAGTTGTCGGGTGCAATATCTAAATCTGTCATTATTGGTGATAATGCACCTTCTTTTGACTGCCATCCCCAATCCTCTGGCTTAATCAATGGTAATAAGCTGTTCGCTCCGTTGGTGGCAACTTAACCTACTCAACTAATCACTTGCATGCCATTTTAAGATATTTCTTGTATTTAAAAAAATGAATAATTTTTCAGTTTTAATTTAAAATACGCAATTAAATACATTTGCATACCACTGTGTTTGAAGAGTTACTTTATCTTTTACTGATAAAATTGAATTAAATGATTTATTACCTAAGAGAACTGAGGGTGTCATTTTTATTTCCGCCATACATTATTACAATCTATTGACGCCTTGCCAATATCTTTTTCAATGCCCAAACGTCCATAAATGTTGACGATATCTGCTGCAAAGATTTTGATTTTAAAGAATTTAACAATAAGTTCAAAAAGTAATTTTTTCCTTTGCCGAAGGGAGCGGATGTTGTATCGCATACATTCATAGCATGGACAAACAGAATGTCGTCTTTTATATTGTTCACAGTTGGGTTTAACGCCTTCATGCTCCATCCTTTATGCAGGCGATGTTTGTAGAAAATAATATCACCCATTTCTTTTTGCCAATGAAGAACAAATATAACAAAAATATCTGTGTCATTAGCAACCACAGTAATTTATTTTTCAGAGTTTAATGAAGCTGTACAACAAATGATTGTAACAAATGATTGTGTTCCCGTCATTTTTACACAGTGCGAAAGTAGCTTGATAAATTTGCTTTTGTTTGTTTTGTTTGCCATAAATATTTCTTTAGAAACCTGAACAACGTTTTCTTCTTTAATTTCGATATCAGGACATTGTTTATTAGCATATCTTCTCGCGTGTTTAGCATTTTTAGTTGGTTGAATTTCATATCCATATGTACTGATCCAAATTGTTTTGTGAATGTATTTCAAATAATTGTTGACAATCACTTCAAAGGTGGAGCCTTTAAGTCAACCAACGCAGTGTAAAGTCACCGTCAACCAAGTATATGCTGTTCTCATCTATCATATTATTTATTTATTTTTTTTATGTTGATTTAGGTGCCCCAAGAAGTCCTTACGGTCTTATCACAGAGCACCGCGGAAGAGCATTTAATAGGAAGTTCACGCCTCCTTCCTAACCGATGTCGCAAAACTTGCCCAGAGGCGGGTTTGAACCGCGGATCTTACGTTCCTAAAGGCAAGTGCGCTACCACTGCGCCACGGCTGCATAACCACCGCGCCACGGCTGCTTAATTTTAATTTGAATATTAATTTCAATGGCTACTGAATCTTTCAGCATAGCTTTTTTCAATGAAGGTTTGTCGGCCTTTCTCATCATCATTTCTTTAAACAGTGATATTGGCTCTGTTGTTAATTCAAATCTGAAATGTTTCTCCTCGTCGTTGACCCTTTTAGCAACTGCTGCATGTCAGGTCAATAAAGTTAGCAAATTCACATATACCTTCTTTTGGCTAATTTTGATTATATTTGTTAAAGAATTCAATGGTTTAGTTTGATACTTTCTCTTGATTTTGACTGCAGTGAATTTTAGGTTATTCATTATTTTCAGTTCTTTTGACCCAACTTCTTCTGCTTGTTCGCAGTTTACCGCATTTTTACCTAGTATTGAAATAAAACCTAATCACAATGAGTGTAATTTTTATTGAAAGAAAAATAATTTCTATTTGAAAACCAATCATAAAACTTTTTCCAATCACTCGCATCTTGTTTCATTTGTGATTGACCAACATTTACATGTTGCTCACTAGTTATTATTGTGGAGTTTGAAAAGAAATTCATTGCATTGTTAATCGTAGCAGTATGATGTGCACTTAATACTCATAAGTGCCTTGTGCTATTTTTTATACCACGTCCTCTTGTTAAGACTCCTCGGCTTTTGATAGATTGCATGAGTGTCTACTCTATAATTAAACTTGACCACATGACCCCAGGAACGTTCACTTTGATGTACAGCATGTTTCTTGTTATTAAAACAATCTTCAAGCCACGGGTGCAAACTACTTACCTAGATTAAACTAACTACCTACCAAACTACCTAGGAATATCATCTGTTAAGCATACAATCTTGCTGTCTTTGCATTGTTTATATGACAACAAGCAACAAAAATATTTAGCATTTCTAGCGTCACTTGTATATGTAGATTCCAGTTTGATGTTCTTTCTGCAACAATGTAGGGTTTTATCAAATTTATGTAATATCGGTAAAGAAGTCAAAGCTTTGATGTTCTAGTTCTTTTGTTCAATGTCATCAATTTTATCTGCTAATTGCTGCTTAATTTTAATCATCGTTTCAGATTCGCAAAAATTTGGATCTTGAAAAGATCCAAATTTTATGATTTAATTTGGATCTTGAAAAATCTTTAAAGAATATCACAAATGGTTGTACAACACTTTTGCAGGAAAAACCAGAGGTTTTTTCAATTCCAAAACTGACTTTAAAGTAATTAGTGCTAAACCTTTTATATACGTACTGTTATTTTAGTGAGTTGGGATGTTGTATTTATTTGTGAATAAGGTTTTTTTGAGGTAACCTTTAATTCTATCAACTTTTTGTGTTGCAGGGTATAGCAGTTTGTCTGATCTGAATAATATGCCCATCCCGTTGAAAGTTCCTTTCCCAGTCAAAGTTATAAGTTATGATCTACGTTGTCTACTGCCCACTGACAAAACGTTGGTTGACTGTCTCCTTCATTGTGGTGGTATACCGCTGATTGCTTGTAGCGCAGAACCTCGCCTGGAGAAATCAAAAACCCTAGTTTTGCGAGATGATTCACCAACCATTCGGATCCGAAATCCTTATCAAGCTGTATTCCAATACCAAAGGATATAGAACAGGTCAAAAACCTGTTTCTCGCAGCATACGTTATACATTAATCAATCGAAGCTTAATTTTGTTAGGAATAAGTAAACTTAATAACATCTGAAGGGATTCAGGTACCCACTGTTTCTGACAATCTAAGTTTCTGATATCTTCTGTATTTGGATAGAAATTGCTTGATTTCTGAATTTCACGAATTTCAGCTTTAATTATTTTTGCAGCTGCTTTGATAATAAATTCTTTACTCTGCTCGCTGTCTTTCTTTGTTTTGCTCAAAATTATTTGAAATATATAACATTTGATTGACCAGCCGTTTTAGAAAAATAAATTGCATCTCCGTAGCGCTTCTTCAACAAATTTTTTAAATGCTTTGGTGAATAGTTCTTTATATCTTTTGTTTTAACCCTTTGTTTTAATCCTTTATATCCTTTGTTTTAAACAGCTCGATCAGTTCATTCATTGTGTACAGCTCACAATCATCATCTTTCTCTAGCCATTGACATATTTTTTCAAACATTGGCTTTTTGAAGTTATCGACTGGCCTTCCAATAGACGTATTACATCTTTTCTTATAAAGAAGAACGCCAGAAAGACATGAGGTATGGTATTTTCCTACTTTTGCAACAAGGTAGTTGCATGAATAAAGGCGTCTCTTCAATTTGTCTCTAATTTCATCAGTTCTTTGAGCCACACATTGAATTAGATTTTCTTTTAGTTCCAGTGTAGTAACAATTGACACTGGGTTTCGTTCAGGATAGCGTAAATCCCTTGGAAGAATAAAACACTGGTTTTTCCAGTCAAAAGTATCCACTGATGATCTCAATTTCTTATTTGGATTCGAGATAAATTTAATTCATTTTTGATGAAATTCTTTTTACATTATCAGTTATACTATCAGTTATGCTATTTACTCCTTTGTCGTCATTAGAGCTATCGTCAGATGGCTGATATAATCGCTGGATGAGACTACTAGCAAGATTAGTAATCGTTTTTTTTTAAATCTTGTTGCCAAATCGGTCATCTTTATTTTAGACATTATTTATGACAAGTATTTCATGAGATAAATTAGATGAATGTTTTTTCTTTTCAATTATTCTATATTCAAATATCTGTTTAACAAGTTGACTTATAGGTGTATTAGCTTCATGAAGTTTTTTTCTTGTAAATTCAATCACAATTTCAGAATACAAAAGATCAGCCTCTCCTTTTGAAAGAGTATTAATGGCAACTTTATTGGTTTTAAAGCAACATAAAGTTTATTTATGACATCAATCTCATTTCTAATTAAAGGAAAATCAATATTCATACCAATCAGAGCTATTTTTACTTCTGTTTGAACATTCAAAAACGTTCAAGCATATTAATAGTGCTGCTCTATCTTGTCCTTGAATCACAAATCAAATCTTTTTCTTTTCTAAACTTTTCAATTATATTTGGTTGAAGTTCATCATCATTGCTCACTGGTGATCTACAAAATTTTTTTAACCAATTTTTTAATTTTTACCACAGTTTCTTAATATTCAAGTTTCAATAATGGAATAGAATCTTCACTAACTCCATGAACAGTTTGAATATCATCACCAACTTCAGTCCCATCTTCATCATCACTTAGCCTTGATCATAATCTAGAGCTTCCATCAACATCATCACCATCAACATCATCACCATCAAAATCATCACCAACATCACCATCAACAGGGTTATTATTAGAACCATGTGCATCAACTATGTTTTTTGTAAAAAGCACATCAACCACACATAGATGAATAGCATGGTTGTAACACGTTTGATGTTCAAGTTTAGTGTCACGTGATCAGTTTTTTTCATTAAGCTAGCTCTATCAGTTGCAGAAGCGACAATGTCGAGAATGTCAAAATCAATGTCAAATGTCAAAAAAGAAATTAAGCTTATCATTGATTAATTTGATGGCTTTTGTTGCCCAGCAACAAAAGCCATCAAACCTTTTGTTGCTGGCAACAAAAGCCATCAAACCTTTTGTTGCTGGCAACAAAAGCCATCAAACCTTTTGTTGCTGGCAACAAACGCCATCAAATTGAAGGATTTCAAGCGCTTGAAATCCTTCGTTATTATGTAGATTTCAAACCCAAGAGGTTTTCAATTAATCAAGTATTTTACTTTGATACTTTTCAAGAGATCCATAAAACGCAACATCAAGAGATTGTAATAAATGGGTAGAGTTACCAAACACTATTTTCTTCTCAACAAGATACTATTTTCTTTTTTAAATTCAAGTACCTTTTCACTGTTAAGATGGCTTCGATTATAACTAAAAGGAATGTTCCTACAATTTGACAAAAAACAACCAATAATAAACCAGTCAAAAAAGTGAATAGAATCAAACCGTCCTGACTTTGATTATACTTTTTTATTGTATAAACATTAGTTTAGTTCAGCTCAATTTATTAGTTTATTTAGCCGTTAAAAATATTCACAAAGTACAACAATATAAAAAGTACAATTGGCTGGAGCAAGAAGAAGGCATAAAATAGCCTTATCACCGAGCCCCAATAGTAACGCAAATAAAAATCTGTAATATATAATAATAAACATTAGGTGGTCCACTCCAGTTCTTGTTGTGCATCAATGGTCATCTTTATAAACATAACCAGAGACATTTTGACCAGAGGTACTAAACATGATTGACATAACATAACATGTATAGTTGCTATATTCTGCATATTTGTAAAAACTATGGATTTTCCATGTGTTTTCGGATTAAATTTTTAAACTTTATTATACAAAGTGGCCAATGAACATCTATTAACGTTTTTATCTAATAATGTTTATTGTTACCATAAAATTTTGTAACCATAATTGTTTTGTAAACCATAAATTATTGTTACCAAAACATTTGTAAACTGGCACTCAGTATAATTTATATACTGCCTTGTATTATTTTTTTCGTATAAAAGTGGGATAGTACTACTATGAATCGCTAAACAAAAACAAATTTAAAGATGAATTACATTACTTTCAACAAATTTAATTCAACACAATATTATGAATTGAATATTGTGTTGAAATATTGAATGTACACACACATATTATATGACATCATGATAGTAATTTATGTCTGGGTCTATGTTTTCATCCGATGAGAAATATCCCATGAGATCTGAAATTTTAAAGGTTAATGAATCAAAATCATTTATTTTCGACATTTTAAATAGCGTAAAATTAAAATGTTTTTTTTTTGAAATTCTTAACTTATGTTTCTTATTTGTCAAGTTTTAAAACGGCATACTTATCGTCTTTTCGCAACTTTATAACTTCAGTGTGTGTGTGTGTGTGTGTGTGTGTGTGTGTGTGTGTGTGTGTGTGTGTGTGTGTGTGTGTGTGTGTGTGTGTGTGTGTGAATGTGTACGTATATATATATATATATATATATATATATATATATATATATATATATATATATATATATATATATATATATATATATATATATATATATATATTCATTAACCTTTAAAATTTCAGATCTCATGAGATATTTCTCATCGGATGAAAACATAGACCCAGGCATAAATTACTATCATGATTTATTTACTGATTCATCAAATCATTATTCTAGCGAATTAGAAGAGTTTTTTTTATGTAAGAATGCTAATGAAAAAAATTTATAAACAGATAAGAATCCTCCACATTAATAAGCCTAAGTCATAATCAGGGGCGCACAGAGACTTCAGAATGCCCGGGTTATATTACAAAAACAAATTTACTGGATACGCCCCACCCCCAACCAACACCAAAATAGAAACAATAATATTAAAAAGCTATTATTTCTAGTATTCACAAAATATTTTAAAAATTCTGTATTTAAGATGGTTCAAAAATCAAACAATTAAACACAACAAAGAAAAAAACATTTCGGTATTTTTCTCATTTCTGTATATTTATCAAGTTTTTCTAACGTTACCAAGACTTTACGAGCTTTTCTAGCAGTTCAAAGTTATCGTAATTACTTTTTTACTCTTACCTCTATACCTCTTTACCTAATTACTCGTAAGTTGAAAAAGTTAGTTTAGTAGTTGAAAGTTACAACATCGTAATTACTTTTTTTCTAAAGATCCGTTTTGATTGATTGACAGCCGTTAATACGGTCCTGTCCCATGGTAGCTTTTAGAGAGTTCCTGATGAGAGCTAACTTGCTAAAAAAGCTCTCGCCTTCAGCCAAAGATCGTCACGTTGGTTTGACAAGGTTCTAAATAATTTTTTATATTAGGAGAATAGCAAATAAACCGTTTTTCCTTTTTTTTTTATTGTCTAAATAAAAATATTTATATAATAGTTTTTTGTTTATTTGAGTGAGTACAAAAAGTGATTTAATGAGTACAAAACCAAATAAAAAGACAATAATATAAATAATTTTAATTAAACATTAAAAAAAATGTTAAAAGATTTTTTCTAAATTCTTGTAATATAAAAAATTTCAGTTAGAACCTTGTCAATACAATAAGATATTGGCAAAGTAAGTAAGATACGCAGACAGATGCATATCTGAGGGAAATTTCCTTCAAATCCTTTTGCACAAATGCTATTCAGAAGATCTAAGGCCCGATCATCTGTCAGGAGATGACATCGAACAGACTAATGTGTTTTGCAACTCATCATTAAAATTGTCTCCACTAAGATCATTTGAATATAGATGTTCAAGATTTTTAACTTTAGATTCCTGACTGTTTGTTAAGTCCGAGTTGATGTCAGGCGTAGACCAGATAAAGAAAAATAATCTTCATTGCTGTTTCAGAGCTTGAAATCTCTCTATAATGATGGATGAAGGTAACAAAGTAAACAATTTTCACTTCTTTATTGGATGTTTCCAATTTTTTTATTTAGAATACTGATAATTTTTTTTCTGTCATCTGATGATGCCTCATAAATGTGATGCCAGGGGGAAACCGACCCAGATCATCCATCCTCTGTGCGCCCTTGTGATAACCTCCACATTAATAAGCCTAAGTCATAATTTTTAAAAATATTTCAATCTTATGAAAAAACTAAAAACCTTTTTAATATAATTTGTTCAACTGAAAGTTGGATTAATTTGAAAAGTTTTGATAACACAAATTTTCATCTTCCTCATTTTGAATTAATCTCTTTAAAAGATACAAAATAATAAACGCGGTGGTGGAGTCCTTATCTATGTAAATGAAAGTATTGCACATTGCCTTCAGAATAATTTAAAGAAAAAACAATCGTACAATAAATATTTTATTAAGCTGCTGTTATCGACCACCTGACGGAGTCAGTAAAAACTTGAGCATTTTTTTTCAATAAAATCTTTTAAAAAAAGGAATAAAAGAAAGAAAAAAAGAATTTTCTTATCGGAGATTTCAATATGAACTGATTTCTATATAACAACGACTTATAAATTAAATTTCTATGACTTGATTTTTGATGCAGGTGCTGTACCCTTGATCAATCGCCATACTAGAGTGACAGTAAACTCAGCGACTCTACTAGATAACATCATCACAACAGATATCTTTAACAATTATATTCAAAAAGAAATTTCAAAAGCATATAAATCTGACCATTTTCCAATTTTCTTAGCAATTCGATCAAGCTCTAAAATAAAAATTCAGCACAAAAAAATTTTAAAAAAGTATTTATGACCACGCTAATTTAGAACAGTTTAAAGAAAATTATCGTTATTGCATTGGAAGCAAATAGACTTTAGCAGCAATGCAAACATTATTTACGAAAAAATTTTTAAAACATGTTTCGTTTATGATGCTAACTTTCCAATTTGTGAAACAATTTTAAGACCAAACAACTTAAATTTACCTTGGATTTCTAAGAGTTTTTAAAAATTATTCAAAGTAAAACAAAAATCAACCTGAAAAACCCTGAAAAAACCAAAACTACATATATCTGTTTGAAAAAGTTCGCAAAAAGTTTAAAAAAATTACTACTCGAAACTTTTGGATAAAGCTAAAAACACCTACCAACGCGCTTGGAAAATAAAAGAATTCACTGGAAAACAAATATCATGCGCAAACTCCTTACCCCAGATGAATAAAGTTGATAACTGAAGCATATATGAGCCTAGTGCTACAGCTCAAAAATTTGTAAAATTTTTGAGCTGTAACACTAGGCTTATATATGCTTCTGTTATCGAAATTTATTAAAATTATTGCAAAACTTGCCTTATTTATTAATTTATTATTACCTATTATTACCTATTAGGCATTTTTATTAATCTATCCAAAGCGTTTGATACTGTAGATTACGATATTTTGCTCCATAATTGCGGAATAAATAGCAGAGGTTTACAATGGTTTCGATGCTATTTATCTAATCAAAAGCAATTTGTTTATTATAAAAATGAATATCAAAATAAAATTGTTAGAAATATCCTGTGGTGTTCCGCAAGGTTCTATTCTAGGGCTTCTTTAGTTCTTGATTTACTTAAATGACTTTTATAAAGCCTCGAATCTTTTAATTATTATGTTTGCAGATGATACCAACTTGTTTAATAATAATATTTACAAACTCTCTTCTAAAACTCTTTTCTACTATAAATGATGAACTACAAAAAGTATCAAATTGGTTTAAATGTAACAAACTAACCTTGAACATAAACAAAACAATATGGATTCTCTTTCATCCCCTCTCCAAAAACGTTCCTTACCCACAAACAAAGACGCATTTACAGGGAAGGAGGGTGCCAAGATGGGGTTTTGGCCTCAGGCGCCAAGTTTTGAGGTGCCAGCCGTCAGAATTTTAAAATCTTAGAATGTTGTTAAATAGTTATTTTATAACACTAACACGAAAATTTTTATATTATTATCATATCCAAATCATATATCGGCTCATAGACCTACTAAATATCTCCAAATTATTTGCTTTTCTGCCTAAAAGTATACGGGCGCATATCTTTTTTTAAACGAGAATATTACCATTGAAAATTCATCTTTATAAAAATTATAAATGAGTATGTTGACAGAAGAAAGTATTATTTAAAAGGCAATCATAGTCTACTTGCAAATTATACATAACTATGCGTTATTTATGCGAAAACGTTGATTAGGTAAAAAAAAAATCACGTTGCTCAGTTTGAACATTTTTTAGAGGATATGTCTTTTAGAGGATCGTACCAATCTTTTAATACATATGAGCAGTTCATAGGTATAACGGTAGATAATTTTATACAATAAATGGTTGTATAAAATTTTCTGCCATTACAATACAAAAAAACTAAATTTTTTTCCATCAGTACTAATTCTACTTCTGATATTAGCCATGTAAATTACTTGTATTCATTTTTCGGTATGCTCAAAAGAATGGCTGTCAGGTAGAAAGATTTTTAGGATTTTTTAGCAAATGCTATATTTCTAGTTTTAGAATCGCATGGATTAGAAATAAACAATAGTTGTGGTAATGACAATGCGTCTAACATGTCTGGTAGGTAAACAGGATTTCAAGCTCGCATTAAAAAAGTTAATCCTTCAGCTACATTTGTACCATGCTTGGCACACTCATTAAATCTTATTTGTGAATGCACTGTGGGCTGTTGTAGAAATGTTTCCGAATTTTTTTATTTTGCTTCAAAATGTCTTTAAATATTTCAAGTCGATGCCCACTATCTCATAGTGAGAGTATAATACAGTAGTTTATATATATATATATATATATATATATATATATATATATATATATATATATATATATATATATATATATATATATATATATATATATATATATATATTGTACGTGTGTTAAAATAACATTGATTTTAATTTGTTATATTTTGGTTTTGGAAAACTCTATACCTCTTTTTTTCATTTGTATCTGTTTCATATAATTTCAAATAAATTTAATAATTTCGAATTTTTTTTCTTAAAGCGTGTTCTATGATTATTGTCATCTCCTAGACTATAACCTGTTTAACTCAAAAGAATAATGCAGCCTAGTACTATAGTATCACTTAAACAAGAAAACTGTTAGTAATTTTAATTATTACAAATTTGTAGAAGGCAATGTTTTTTATTATTTTTTAATAATAAAAATTTAATCGAAAATACTCAATATATTGCCTTATTTTAGTTATATATATTATATATATCAGGATAATATTGTAAACTATATTAGGCCGATATTGGCCAGTATAATATCCCCATTATTGGCGCGATATTATTTACAATATTGGCGCAATATTATAAACTATATCGGGCCAATGTTGCAGTGTGAACATTTTGCCAATATTGGCCAATATTGACTTTTCAGTATTGGCGCAATATTGTAGCGCCAATATTGGCCAATGTTGGCAAAATGTTCACATTGCATATATATATGTATATATATATATATATATACATATATATATATATATATATATATATATATATATATATATATATATATATATATATATATATATATATATATATATATATATATATATATATATATATATATATATATATATATATATATATATATATTGGGGGGCTTAATGATAAGATGAATTTTGTCTTCTTCAAGCCCCAGTCATGTAAATATTTGTTTTTATAAATTACGAGTGTAAATTATTTTCAATCGGCAAATACAATACTAAAAAAAAAAAAAAAAAAAAAAAATATATATATATATATATATATATATATAATATTTAATGTATACTTAACAAAAGTATATTTAATTGTAACCAAAGTATTATGAAATAGCTAGTTGATATTATTGTGTTAAAAAAAATTAGTATCATTAGCAAATATTATTGTCATTTAGTTGAAGGCACCATAGACGTCATTAATTTTTTTTGTATGTGTGTACCCGGTGGGAAATGAGCTAGCGACTACCTAGCTTTATAGCGATTTGAAGCGATTTTTTTTTTTTTTTATTCTTTACTAATGTCTCCAACATCTTTAAAAATTCGATTTTTAGTGTTGAGTCTATTATAATTATGAGAATAATTGAACTTTAAACATTGCGATTTTGTAGCAATGTGTCGCTAGCTACATATCGTGGCTTTATAGCCAGCTACAAAATATCTACAAACCTATAGCTGGTTGATAGCTAGATACCAAAATTTTTTTGATAGCTTTTTTATTACGATATGACGGTAGCTACAATAGCCTGTGAGTCTTTAGCTTATTAAGCTAGCTGTCCTCGTAGCCAAATCGCTGTCTTTATCTTTACAAATATCGATAGCTTTTCGCTAACTTAAAAAAGCTAGTGATCCTCGTAGCCAAATTGCTGTCTTTATCGTAACGATTATAGCTAGCTATTCGCTAGCCGATTTCCCACCGGGTAGCTTATTTCGCCGTTAAAGAATGTTTACATTGCATTTACATATATCATAACTAATATATATACATATACATTGTGTTATAAATTTAATTAACTACCCTATGTAAATATGTTTACAAGGTAAAAATACAAACAATCTAATTTAGTTTAAAAACAAGCAAAAATAAAAGAACATAAAAATAAAATTAAAAAGGATCAATTAAGAATGCTTTTTTCAATACTATTTTTAAATATTGTTCGCTGTTGCTTGTTATTCCAACACTGATCTGCTTGTACCAAAAATTTGAAGCGTGTCTTCAGAAACTTTTCTAAATCGCTTAACTTTTTTCTTAACCAGCATTAAGTTTTTCATATTCAATTTATATATATCGTCCAAAATGATGTGTTTAACTGAACAATAGTTAAGCTAGGAGTTATTAATTTCAAAAATTTCTTTATTGTTTAAAAGGCGAATAAATAGATTTATTTTGTTTTACTGTACAAGTTGACATTTCCTGAACTTTAAATAGAGATTTAAATATTACTATAATTAAAGATATTAAAAAATGATTTAATTGCATTCCTTCCAAGCTTGTCAAGCTATTCCATTGTTAAATTTTTATTTTTACAGAGCTCTAGACCATGAGTTAGCGTCGGAAATGCAAAAGACAACTGGATAATGGAGCTTGGATGTGTATACCGGATTCCAGCTTGAATCAGAGTTTGCACCGTTGTTTGAAAATTTAAAATTCTAGTGTCAATATTTATTCTATTAAGAATGGCAAAAGTTGATTTTTTTATGTCCCAAAAAAAAAACCCGGATGATTAAGTTTATCATGAGGTATTATTTGATGATCATCTAATGTTATCGTGGATTTAGTATTTTTTTTTTTTGGATAGTAAAAGTTCCGTTTTGACAGCATTAAGCTTTAAGCCGTTTAAGTTGTTGTACATATTGCACGTTGCAAGGTCGAGCTCTAATTATTAAAACTAAATTAAAGCAAATAAGTTTCTTTTATCTCCGAGCAAATGAGTAAAATAAGGTAAATGCTTACAATTGCTAAAATGTTTAAATAATATATAAACAAAAACTTTTGATTTAAAAGATAAATAAAATAAAATTTGATAATTAACACAATCACTAAAGCATGCGATCGTTAAATTCGGAACGATAAAAAATTCAAAAAAAATAAATTATTAAATAATTAAACTAATGCAAAAAACTTCAATATTTATTTTAATCTAAGGAGCTTGAAAATTATAAAAATGCTTTTTATTTTATTTTTTTAATTATTTTGAATGAATAAGCGAACACTTACGCTAATTGACGACAATTAGTCACGCACAGTGTCATTGGCAATTTTTTTTCCTATTAATGTCCACTCTCTCATCAAATCTTTAGCTGTATTTATTGTTTTGCCAATCTTACGCAAATATCATTTGCCGATTCCCCAAAGTTCTCAATGGGACGGAACAGTGGGCAGTTTGGTGGGTTCAAGCTAATTGGTATAAATTTGGTGTCTCTTGAACCCACTACACAGTACCACTTGTAACACTCTACAAACTTCTTAAAATAAGACAAGAAGCAAGTTCAGGCCAAAACCAACAGGGGACATCATGACTTAGATAGAATGGCAAAAGTCTAGATTGCAAGCATTCCTTGATGTAATCATTTGAGTTTAAAGTTGACGATGTGACAAAAGCTCGAGATCTCAAACCGCAGCTGCATATTGCTAGCAACAAGAGAAGTTTTTTTTACCAAATTTATAAAATCTTGTTGCTGACATGTCTGCACGTCCACAAACAATTGAAGTGTAAAAATTTGGACCTGAGAGCTGTTTGAAGTCACATTTAATGTTCTTTTCGTCATCCATAATTTTGCAGCCATTAAATTTTATAAGCATTTTGTCATAAAGTTTTCGAGCTCGAGTTTTAGCAGTCAGTGATTGCTTATCTGATCGATTTGGATATTTAATGGCTAAGACTTGAAATTCTTTCTTACATTTCATAAATTGCTCTAAAGTAGTCTTGTTTTTGTTAACAATATCTTGGAATATAAATATAATACAAATAAGAAACAACAGTGGTCTGAGTATGGAACTCTGTGGAACTTCAAATAAAAATTTCAAATGAAAACTTCTAAAACATTTAAATGGTTCAAATATTTGAAGATGAAGAGGCATCAATGTTAACAAATTGTTTGAGATTTTTTTAGAAGCTTTTTAATAATGTTAAGAATTTATTAGTGATACCGTATTATTTCAGTTTTTTTTATGAGAATGTTGTAATCGATAGTATTAAAAGCTTTAAATAAGAATAAAAAAATTATTACTAAATTACTAAATTTTTAGATTTTTCAAAGGAATCTGTATTCGAGTTAGTTAAAATACTACGTGTTTAGTTTTTTTTTTTTCAAACCTGAAAGTTATTAAGTAGCGTGCCCCAAAAAATAATAATAATACCTCTTAAAGTTTTCCCATTTTTAATGGTCCAAATAGGCTATAAAAAATTATTTTTGTTTAAAAGTGATTTCTTTAAAACTTAAAAATTAAAAAAAAAAACACGAAATTTAGGAACTCTCCTAAAAAATTTCCTGTTTAAAAAGTTTAACATATTTGAGGTGCTTCTTCGTCAAGACCTTCTTTATTTTCTTTATTTTGTCTCTGACAACAAGCATGAGATTCTGTTTTATGTCATCCGACCTGTAGCCTCCAACAAAATCCTTGATTAGTCTGATATACCTTTCCGCGTAGACATTGACACATAAACCTCAGCTACCTGAGCTAAAAGGATTCAACTATGGAAACATACTAATTTAGTAAGTTCCTTTGACCTTGTAATAACCAGTAGCTTTGGTCTCCTCATATAAAACTGCTCGGGGATATCACACTTGATCAAGATCTCTAAAATATTTTTCTTTACATTCTTGTCAACACCGTTGTCAAATAGGGCCAGTATAACTAATTGTTCCATTAAGCACAAAGCATGTCACTAAATGCTGACAAGGAGAGCCTATACTAGTTTTGAGTAATAGCCTCTTATTTTGAATAATGGCTTAAAGGCAGCCATGTCATTTGAAGTTGACTTTATCAATGTTAAGTAAACATTGATAACTTTCAGGATTCCTTAAAGGTTAGAGTCAATATTTTTAATTCAAAAGATCTTTTGACATCTTTGACCACAGATTACCAAGATAAAAACCGTCAGTACCCATGTATGTGCTGTGATTCTCATACAATAGATTTTTTAAAACAGTTTTATATTTTATCTAATAATATCAATAGAATATTAACAACCTGGTATGATTTTTTTAAATTAAGTTTTCATAAATCCTATTAGTTAGCTGAAAAAAAATAAGAAATTACCCAATTGATTTTCAGAAATTACTCCCATGTGTAAATTATATAGATTACTAAAACTTTTTATGTTTGAGAAAACTTGCTTATTGGTTGTTATAGCTAGCCCAGATAATTTGCAACATTCTTGAACTTAAAGCAATTGCAAGCAAGAGCTTATTTGGATTGTCCTCGGTATTTTATTGTAATAAAAGATTAAAAAACATTCTAGCATAATTAACTATAAGAAAAAGTCTACGATCTGGTGTATATGATGATATATTCTTAAATTATCACACATTTATGGAGAACTTAGGGTAAAGAGGTAAAAACAAGAAAAATTGCAAACATACACATTTATGCTGTTATTTATTTTAATTTCAAAAGTCAATGCATACAAAACACATAATTGTTGATATATAGCTGTTAACTTGAACAAAATAAATGTCATTGTATTTAGTAATTGGTAAAAAATGATTACCTTTTGATAGCAACTGATAGTAATTAATGTTATGATGGTAATTATTTTTTTATTAAATATTATTAAAGAAAAAAAAATCTGTCTGCAAAAGAAAAATAAAAAAAATAAAAAAAACATTAAAATAAATGTATTCCGTATACCCAAAATTTTACGAATAGTTTCATTATGTAGTTTTTGGTATAACCTACAAAATTAAGTTTGCTTTCTTTGAATTTCTGTGGTTACCTGTTGCATAACAATATAAAAATAGACATGTGTCATGTTTTATTTTGAAGTAATATCAATAAATTTTTTTTGAAGACATGCTTCCTTAAACTTTTTTTTTTTTTTTTTTTTTTTTTTTTTTTGTTATTTAGGTGCCCCAAGAAGACCTAACGGTCTTGCCACAAAGCACTGCCGAAAGTGCATTTAACAAGGAATTTCACGCCTCCTTCCTTAACCTTAAATGATTCCTTAAATGTAAAATCTTGATTTGATGAAGTTCTTTTTAATGCAATAAAAACCATATTTTTCTTTCATTTGGTTAATTTTTTTGACTTTAATACTTTTTCTTGCTTATAATGTCAGTGTTTATATGTAACTGTACAAAAAATTACTGTTAAGTAGACAAATATATGTTAAATTTTCAAATAAAGTATTAATATCTAATTGTCATCTTATATATATATATAAGTTAATGTGACTTTTTTTCACAAACTGTTTTAAGGTTTAAGGACAATGTTTTATTATTAAAGTTAAAATGAGTTATATATTTAAAAATATCAGCCAGCTCAAAACTAAAGTTGAAACAAAATATGAAAATAAAGTCTCATCATATATTTACATAGATTGTGTGAGCTAGTTTTTCAATCAGTACAGTTTTTTTTTTTTTATTTTGATGTTCAACTTTTTATAATCCACAAGTATAAATAAAATTCTAGACCAGTAGCCAAGTAAAACTTCATATAAACTTTGTATGCATAAAGTACTTCACAAATAGTCTGGTACAGCTGCATATAAACTTTGTTCTTGATCAAGGACATTATACTTTTCGAGAAACACATATATACTTAAACACTTTTTTTTTTCTATTTCCTTGAAATAACAACAGATATGCATGCGTATAACATCTGATTTTGAACGAAAGGCTTATGCGTATTTGTTGAAAAATACAATCCAAAAGTAATGATAAACTAAGTTTATAAATATTGTGCTATTATCGACACAGAAAACTCATTTTATTTTATTCAATTTTATTCATTTTATATTAAAAAAAAATTGTACAAGAGAATTTTCACTTGTAAAAATCTCAAAATTTCAATAAAGTTTATCTTGGTCATATGGATTTTTTGAAAAATAATACTAGTATACTAACTGCCCAAACCGGACAACGAGTATATTAGTATTATTTGGGGATCCGGGTCGGTTTCCTTCAGGCATCACATTTATGGGGCATCATCAGATGACAAATAAAAAATTATCAGTATGCCAAATAAAAAATTGAAAACATCCAGATTTCAGAGAGATTTCAAGCTCGTAGTGAAAACGAGTTTATTGATGAGTTCCGCCACTTTTGTCCGTTTGACATCATCATACTGACAAATGATTGGCCCTTAGATACTCTGAATAGCATTTATGCAACGGGATTTGAAGGCAATCTCCACCAGATACACATCTGTGCTCTGTGATATGTCCTTACGGTCTTATCGCAGAGCACCGCGGATGAGTATTTAATTAGAAATTCACGCCTCTTTCCTAACCGATGCCGCAAGACTTGCCCAGAAGTGGGGTTTGAACTGCGGATCCTTTGTTTCTGAGGCAAGTGCGCTACCACTGTGCACGGCGGCGTTATGCACAGCATTACGTCAGAGTGACTTAATACCAAATTCAAAAATGATTTTTTGTTTGGATTTAATTTTAAATGAAAAAACAGAAGTTTTAAAATATTTTATGAATACTAGAAATAATAGCTTTATTTTATTTTTTTTATGATTTTTATTCCGGGGGTGGTTAGAGGGGTAGCATCCAGTTAATTTTTTTTAATAATATACCCCAGACATCATGAAGTCTCTGTGCGCCCTTGGTTATAAGCATTATATTTATTAAAAAAGCATGCTAACTTAAGTCACTGTTAGTCAATTAAAGAGGTAAAATCAATTACTCAATTTTGATCACACAAAATTTTTGAGATGATGAAATTAATTAATGAATGTATGTTTTACAATTTAATATTTCATTGTATTTTCTAAATTAGATCGTTTTTGTAAGAAAGCCACTAATAAAAGAAAAAAGAAAAAGATAAAAACTAAACCCAAAAGGGTAATGTTTCTTCTCAAGTATCCTATCAATAAGTTGCCCATGAACCAGCGCCCCAACATTGGAAATGTGTTTATTTATATGCAGTTTGTCAAATCTCCGAGGTCTTTGACGTTTAAATTTACTAAACCTGTTGTAGCTTAATCTTAAAGGTTTCTAGGCGAAGATCTTATCTGCAAGGGTGGATTATGAAAATATTCTAACTATAGATGTGTCACTGCTATTGTAATGAATGTGTGGAACAAGGCTGGTTTTAGAGAACTCCTCATTTCTGGAGCTGCTATTAGATAAAAAATAATGTAATTTTTGATTATCTTAATAAAATACAAGCAACTCAGCAAAAAAAAAGTTAATTCAAACTTAAATAAAAATAAATAAGTAACTATACTTTGGTAACTATACTTCGGTAACTTAAGAAATAATGTTTTTTTATATTATTAAAGGATAAGATTATGAAGCTCCATACCAAGTATTGGAAACTCATTCATCTCAGAAATCTAAACTGGGATTCCAGCATTGGTAGATTTACCAAGATGGAGGAAAATTTTATACAGGAGAGTAATAAACTCTTTGACAAATCTGTGAGGAAGTTTAAGATAAAGATATAATTAACTTCGTTCTCAAGAGGCAAATATTGTAGCAATATACAAAAACAGACGTGAATCCTGAAAATGTTCTTCAAAAGCTCTATTCATTGAAAGAGATTCAAGAAGGTTTAAGATCTCGGTAAGAATAACCTTGACGTATAGCTTTTAACTTTTATTTTATTTTTTTAAGCTTATTTTTTGTTCCCTTAATAATACAAATTCTTAATTACATAATAAAGATTCGTTAACAGTGAATATATAAATAAAAACAAAATTCTGTAATGTGGTTTTACAATAATATTTAATTCACTCTAACAGTGTAAAAAAAAGAGGAATTCTTGCAGAAGACCAAATGATCATCTAGAATCGCTTTCATTGTCATAAATATAAAAATATATTCATAAAATTTTTAAATTTTTTACATAAAATCAATTAATAAATAAATAAAAATTTACATAAAATTTATAAAATTTTCACATAAAATTATTACATTATAATGGTTATTAAAACGTCAGATAACAAGTATACAGTATGAAAATTACTTATCGTGCACCTCATATAAAGTAAGTATATGAGGTGCGCGATAAAGAATTTTGAATGTTTATTTTTTCATGAAGGCTCTAGAGTACTATATGTTTGTAATAAATATTTATACTCTGGTTTTTGTTTATAAAGACTATAAAAAGACTTTTTTACATTTTGCTATTATACATAAGACATTGTATACATTTATTTTAAAAAATGTTAATAAAGACATCTGTTCAAAAAGAGGTTTTGAGTGATCTTTTTTATTTTCAAAATTAATCACACCAATAGCATGCTTCTGTTTACGATAGAGTGGTTCTAGTTTCAATTTCACAAATGTTCAATGGGGAGTACAACTGGGGCATTTTCACAGTCACTGCCTACATTATACACTATATATCATTATGCACGCTACGTAGTTAGTGGACGTGTTTTTATGTTTTAAAAAATTATAGAAATTTATTTATCGTTTTTGCTTGGTTCAAAAAAATGGTTCAAAAATAGTTTAAAAAAATCCCAATATAAAGTAAAAAAGTAAAGTATATAAAAAAGTTAAAAAAGCTACAATAGATTATGAAAAATACATAATTACATCAAAAAAAAACGAAACTACTACATAATTATATAAAAGAAGACGAAAAATTAAAAATTATTTAATATTAATTAAAGATTCTAATGCATGTATCATTACGGACCAAAAGCAGGTTGCTGATACTTTGAATGAATATTTTCAGTCAGTATTTATAGACGATAACAACGATATTTTACCAAACTTTGAAAAAAAGTGTTTAAATTCACTACAGTTTATTACCTAAACTAAAGTTATTATTAGGGTTCATTATCGAAATTGCAATTTTCGAAAATTTTCGATTAAAACGTTATCGAAATACTTCTTTTTTTTCGAAATCTAAAAAAACTTTCGATAATAATCGAACTAGCCATATTAATTTCGAAAAAAAAAAGTAATTTAGAAATGTGAAATTAATTTCGAAATAAAAAGGTGGATTACGAAATAGGAAATTAATTTCGAAAGAAAATAAAGAATTTCAAAATGTGAAATTAATTTCGAAATAAAAAGGTGGATTTCGAAATAGGAAAATAATTTCGAAAGGAAAAAAAGAATTTCGAATTGTGAAATTAACTTCGAAATAAAAAGCTGGATTTCAAAAAAGGAAATTTATTTCGAAAGGAAAAAAAGAATTTCGAAATGTGAAATTAATTTCGAAAAAAAAAATGTATTTCGAAAAGTGATATTAATTTCGAAAGAAAAAAAAGAGTTTTGAAAAGTCAAATTAACTTCGAAAAAAAAAAGTGTATTTTGAAAAGTCAAATTAATTTCGAAAGAAAAAAAAGAGTTTCGAAGTGTGCAATTAATTTCGAGAAAAAACCAATAGATATTTGGTAAGCTAAATTAATTTCGAACTTATTAAAAGAAATATTAAAAGAAATATTGAAATTTTTTTCTTATAGAAAACGTTTAGATTCTCTTTCGAATTATTTTAAGGAGATGTTCTTAGAATTGCTCTTAGAAGAATTTTATTTTTAATAATGTTTTTTTAAAAACTTTTCCATATAAATGGTCCATGGTATTGAATTTGAAATGAATTGAGTTTTAAATAAGATCTTGGAATTACAAAATTATCAGATGGGTATTAATGAGATATTTCTGCAAAGTAAGAGTGAAATATATAAGGAGATAACGCATGTTTTGATTTAAACGTAAAAAGCATAACTTGGTATATATTAAGTTTATAAATAAAAAAACTATGAATAGGGGAAGTCAGGGTACAGTGGATTGAGGGGCACAGTGAATAAGAAGCATTTTTTCAAAGATTATGATTTTGTTCATCACGATGATGTAATAAGTTTATGTGCGCATATATCACCCATCTTTATTTATAGGTGTTACCACATAATTTTTGACTGTCGGTTTTAGGTAGGTAATTTATGTTTTTAGCTAACTAAAGTAAATGCTCTTACCATCTTTATGTTTGTTGTGGAGATCATGGTTAAAATCATTTTATAAGTTAAAGTTTTATATTCGGAATACTGATCTTTATGGTTCATTTTAGTAGTTTTGCTTTTCCTTTAATAAAACTCATGCCCCAAGAAATTAAACTTGAACCTTATTTTTTATAGTGGGGCACAATGAATCGGGGGTACCGTGAAACGGTTAATTCACTGTGATAAAAATGTTTATAAAAATTAAAAATTCACTTTAAAAAATTTCTTGTGTTGTTGGTTAAATAAGTTTTATTAAATAAATTTTTTTTTGTGATTTTAGATGGTTGAATAAGTTTTGTTATCAATAAAATTTATTCTTTATTTTGTCAATCAGAAAAAATTTAAATTATTTAATATTAGTTACCAAAAGTGCACCAAAAGTATAGTGTACAATGTATTAACACCCTCATCCTCAAAATTATTTGGCTACGCCCCCATTAACTACCACTAAATTGCAAATGAGTTAATTGTTTCACTGTACCCCAGTACTGGGGTACAGTGAATCACTTAACAAAACTCACTTTAAACCTTTCTGTGAGCTGTTAGATAATATATATTTAGATTTTAGTTATTTCTTATCATGAAGGACATATTCTCAATCCTTTAGCCTTGACAAACATAAAATGTATATTTTAACTTTCACTCAAATTAAAAAAGAAAGAAATTCGACCCACTTTGCCCCACTCTCCCTAAATGAAAAATATATAATTTTCAAAGACTCCGTATTAAGAAAATTATATATTTTTTATGCTAAATAAAGTTAAGGTTTAACTATATATAGCATTGAAGTATTTTTGGATATTTTAATTTCAATAGATTTAATATGATATTTCCATGATATATTTTCATCTATAATCACTCCTAGAAAGTTAAAAAAAGACTCTCTTCTAATCACTTTTTTGTTCATAAAGATTTTCCTCAAGTTAGGGAAAGATAAAACAATCCAATTTATAATTAGTTGTTTGGACAACAAGATTTCTTAAAAAAGGGCAATATCATAACAGTAAATGCTACTGCTACAAGCTATGAAATTAGTCCTCTTTAGTTACAAATTCTAAACCATTCAATAACGGGGAAAGATTATTTAAATTTACGAATCATTTACACACACACCTTCCTAAATGCATTTTTTGTGGATTTAGTCGGCAAAAATAACCCTTTTAAAGAAGTCGGCAAATGTAGACCTTTTAGACAGGTCAGTCGTCGAACTTCAAAAAACAAGGACCTAATTTTTTACTCAACAAAAATTTTAATAACACCCCACCACGTCACACCTACTTGCACCTGCCCTAATGGCAGCTCAATCATTGGATATTGGTGTTTTTTCCAGAATTGAAAAGAATGTAGCAGAAAACATATTGTAATTAATTAAGCTGTTTGTAAAAAAGTTCATCAGATAAAAAAAAAAGAATACAAGTGCTTTAAATTACTAAGATTTATAAAATACACTTTTACTAAATAATTTTTTTTATTTTAATAAAGAAATGTTTTTGATTACTTGTTTTCTTTAATAAAAACTAACTGCTTCAATAAGCTTGGCGCAAGCCTGTTCCGTAGCTCCGTATCTATTAAACCGGTTGAACTAAATAAGCATTCTGATGGCACGGATGTCGCTGGAACTGAAAATATTACCCGTGCAATTTGTGTCAAAACCGGGAACAATTTTTGATTAGCTTGGAAAAATTCAATGGCACTATTTTCGTAGCTATGAAAGTATTGCAGACTGTAATCATTTATTTCTTTTTCAAGTTTATCATTGCTCTCAATTAAATTACAACAAGATTTATCTGTTACTAGTTCAATTAAGTTGATTGACTTTCGTCTTTTGTTAACTAAAGTAATATTATTTGCAATAGGTGACGTTGACAATTGCTGAAATGTTTTTATGGTATTGTCAGCTGAGCTGTTTGACGAGTTCAAAGTGTTATTTAAACAATTTGTTTCAATTGTTATATCGATTTCTTCGGTTTCTTTTAGATGCATTTCATAAAATGTTTTTATAAACATTTTTGCCTTTGAAATGCATTCATATCTATAGATATCATTTTTGATAAACTCGAATTTACGAAATTTGAAATCAAGAAAAGTAGCTGCTAAAAAAAAATCATTAGCAAAAATGTATTTAAAACGTCCTTTTAGAGACCTTAATAATTCCTTTTGAAAAGTCTTAACTAGTTCTGTAAAAATAGGTTGCGATTCAAGTATTTCATTTAGTAGAGAATACAGTGTTGGAAACAGGAATGTTACTGTAACATATTTCTTTCCACTAAAAAGTTTTGTTAGCTCTTTAATTGGGTGTAACAAATCACACAAATCCTCCAGCACCTTAAATTCAGTAGCAGTGGGAAGATAGTCTTTTATATTTTGAAATTCGATGCTTATCATATCCAATGCAGTTTTATTTGTTAATATAGATTCAATCATATCGAATTGGCTATTCCAGCGAATAGCTATATCCTGTACTAACTTTATTTTAGTTTCATAACGAAGTGTTTCTTGAACTTCTTTTAACTTTTTTTGTAACATCTTTGAATGCTTAAATGAACCAACAATGTGCCTGCAGGATGAAATTACCTTGACGATTTCTATTTTGCCTTCGTTAATTTTTTCAATTTCTTTAACTTCACTTTCTGTAATTTCTCTATTAATTAGTTTTCCATTACCGTCGTAATCTTTTACTTGGTAACGCTTTGACCCATTTTAAAATTTTTTTACTTTTATATCTCGTGCGTTTAGAAGATCATTAACCACGAGATTCAAACGATGACCAGCACACGGAATCTTAAGAACATTATCATCAAATTTATTTACTGCAGAGAAAATATTTGCACCTGAGTGAGTAACTAGTGCAAAAATCTTATTATTGATTGACCATTCACTGAAGATTTCGTTTAACGTATTAAATAAATATTCAGCTGTTTTCATTTCAGACATAAACTTAAGATCCAGGTTTCGGTCAACTAGAGTCATATTTTTGTCAATAAAATGACAAGTCACACCGAGGTAGCTGTTTTTACCTAATGATGACCAACTATCACAAGTAATTGTAATGAAACGACATCCCTTCAATTCTAGCATTAAAATTGATTTAAGATTGTCCGTAATTGATGGAATTAATTTCTTGCTCACCGTATTTATGCAAGGCATTTTGTAGCTTTTGTTTAACTCACTAAGTTTACAAAGTCTGGATGACGTACTATCGAAATCGGCTGATCGGTACCAACAATAAAATTCACCAATAACCTGTTTAATTTTTTATGACCAGTCTCTTCAAAACCATTCTCATTACCGCTCTCAATATCGGATATATCGTCATCGTTGAGTAAAGTTGTTGATTTTTTAGATATTTTAGAATTAATGCAATGATCAATTGATAAATGGGATTGCATTAAACTGGTCGAACTGTTGTAAGGTAAAATCTTATAACATATGCTGCATTTTGTTTGATTCTTTTGGTCCATTTCGAAATATGTCCAAACGAAGCTTCGTTTTCTTATTCCTTTCTTAATAACGGATTTATTTGTTTTTGACATTGTTTATTCAAACTAAAAAGCGAGTAGTTTTTTTACTCGTTCGTATGTAACAAATTTTAACAAATTAGTAACTTATGATAAAATAAATTTATACCACATGTTACTTCACTTACGTTTCCGAGATATTAATGAGATTGTTATAACTTTAATATAAAATTACACCATTTTTAGAATTATGTAACACAACCGTTGCAAATCTCTAAATAACCACTAGAAAGTAATTAGCCGTTTACATTGCAACAATGATTTTATGTCATGCGTTTAAGACCTCAAGGGAATTGCCGTTGAGGAATAATAATGACTTATGTGCGTGCTGTAAACTATGCGTTCTTAGAAGGGACTGTCAAAATTCTATATTTCTTGTTTAACCAGAAAATCTTTATAGGATTTTAGAGAAAAATTCGAAAAATAATTTAGTTTTTGCTAATTTTTTTAAGCTGACCTTCTACTTTATTTTTAAAAATTTACAGATATTAAAAATAAAATTCCTTAAAGACTCTTCTAAAGTGTCTAAAGTTACGCAACTTTTCTTTCAAATTTACTTTGATTTTTAAACGTTGTGTTTTCGAAATAAAAAAAGTATTTTCAAAAGAAATTTTTATGCAATCAAAACGACGCGCAAAAAAAACTTTTTATTTTTTTATCGCTATTCAAGCTATCAAAAAGGCTATTCAAGCTTTTGGTGAGGGTAAATATAATCCCTAAAAATAATTTTATAAAAGTAAAAAGTCATGAAGCTTAATCTAATCAGGCGAGAGAGGTGAAGGGGAAGGTATTGTTTGTTCCGGGCAGCAGATGTCCATGGGGCAAATTCGGTAAAAGGCCCTCAAAAATTTGAAAAAGACCCCCTAAATTTTGCCCCCCCCCCCAATTAAGGAGGAGCGTGGGGAGCCTATCCACGGCTGTGAGTATATCCTTGCTTTTTGGTAGCAGTTTCTTTTAAAAAGTAGCAAAAATAGTATTATTTTCTATATATTTAGAGTTTTATTAAAGTAAAGTTTTTAAAGTAAAGTTTTTAACAAAATACCCAAGAAACAAAATTGAATTGTGCTGCTCAATGTTATGATTTTGGTTTGTGAAGGGGGGGGGGGGGGGGAAGAGTTAAATTGTTTTCACAAATTGGCCCCTCGTTATAAGTTTTTTCTGAATTGACGCCACTGTTTGAGCCCAATCTGGAAAAATAAAAACTCTACGTCTATGGACTTATCAGTGCAAACAATAAATATAAACCCATATATTGGTCAGATGTCTGATGTTACGCTTCGGCAATAACACTTGCGCTGCTCAGCAATACTCGTTTTACGGCTAGCCAGGACTGGCATTTCAGAGAGCCATTATCAAACCAGTGTATACAGCGTTTACACTAAAAAAGTCATTAGGGCCCCAAAATTTAAAAAAACCTGTTACTAAAAATAAAAAAGCTCCCCAAAGTGTCACAAAATCCGAAACCACGCTAGGCTTAAATATGTGAGGTGATTTGCGAACAATCCCTGAGTTATTATTAAATTAATTGCAGATTCTTCTATAAAATAGTGGGAGGTAGTTAAACCCTTTTCTCTGGCCGTAACACCAAAAATTTTAAGTATTATTTTATGTTAATTTTTAAAATTTAATTATTTATAAAAATATTTTAATAAAATTTTGTACAATTTCAGTAATAAAATAAATATAAGCAAATTTTAGAATTTAATAGTAATATTGTGTAATATTTTCAGAATTTCGATATCACAAAAATATTTCGAAGCAAATTTTACAATTTCGAAAGTAAAAAATTTTTTCGGTAATATTTTCCGATTTTCGAAATCGCAAATATATTTCGAAGCAAATTTTACATTTTCGAAAGTAAAAAATTTTTTCGGTAATATTTTCCGATTTTCGAAATCGCAAATATATTTCGAAGCAAATTTTACATTTTCGAAAGTAAAAAATTATTTCGATAATATTTTCAGAATTTCGAAATCGCAAAAATATTTCGAAGCAAATTTTACAATTCCGAAAGTAAAAAATTATTTCGACAATATTTTCAGAATTTCGAAATCGCAAAAATATTTCGAAGCAAATTTTACAACTTCGAAAGTAAAAAAATCGTTTCGATGCAAAATTAACTACTTTAAAATTATTTCGAACTTACCGAAACGAAAATAGAGTTTGGAAAACTTTTTTTTTTAATCGAAAATTCAACTTTGGCTTTCGTGAACAACCCTAGTTATTATAATCAATCAAGAAATTTATTAACAAAATTAAACAAAGACCTAATACTAAATCAAATAAATCATTATCGAATGTAAAAGTCTTCGTCTTAAGTATTTTTATACGAGAAAACAAGAAAATTTTGTTTTGAAAAAACAAATTGTTTTTTCAAAACAAATTGTTTTTTCAAAACAAATATGCTTTTTTAAAAACGCATATAAGAATGAATAAATGCGCATATAAGAATGAATAAACAAGCATATAAGAATGAATAAACAAGCATATAAGAATGAATAAATGCGCATATAAGAATGAATAATCCTATAATATGATTAATGGTTTAAACCATAGTCACAAGAATAGATAGTCTGGAAACACGGGCCGTAATAATTGATTTTGAACTTTTATGTCAAAATTGTACTTTCGGCCCGCTGAAAGCGCAAAACAAACATTAAAGTGAATCATGGAAAGTGGAGAGTTGCAAGTTCTTTTGAGTTTGATAGAAACAAATCAGTTTGAAAGCGATTCATTTTATCAAGAAATCGAAATAGCAGCTTTAGAAGAATGTAAAGAGACTTTAAATTGTAGTGATTGCTCGAAGGTATTCAAAACAACTAGTGGTCTGAAAAGGCATATAAACTCTAAGCACAAAGAACTTGTGCCTACTGACAACCTTGTCGAGGTTGTCGGTAGTGAATTAGTTGATTTAAATAAAAATATACAATTATGTATTCAAAGTACACAATTCAAAGATCTATTGAATAACGCAAGACATAAACTGTCAACAGATGATTGTTTTTGTAATGAAGATCGAGAATGTTTTAAAAACATGGTTGTCACTGAATCTGAGTATTTACAAGTTGAATCTTTTTTTTCAAAAGAAATGCATGAATTTAAAGGCAATGCCGAAAAATTTTATTCTTCACTCCACCATAAGTATACAACTGAGTCAGTTGCGATAAAAACAATACCAAAGAAACTATATTATTTATTGTTAGCAGAATTAACAACATTATGTCTAAATTTTTTGATTACAAAAGAATCTAAACTTATTGGTGAAGATTCGAATCTAGAAATAAATCTCTCTGAAAAAGACATAGCAGGTTATGTATTTCAAAAACTGTACTCTAAGTTGAGAAATAAAAAAATTAACGATGGTGCAATGTCTGGACAATGGCTTGATATTATACTTTCATCAAAAACTCAAGAGGAACAAAAACTTGTAGATAGTAGAGATAGAGGTGGATTGTGGAAAATGAATACACTAATAATAAATATTTTTAGTGAATGTGAAAAAAAATTTAGAATACATACTAGTGTAAATTTTAGAAAAATTGACAGTAAAGTATTGGTTTCACAATTATTAAATAACTGTTTTGTCAAGTCCTGCTTCATCAAATATGTGACCTTCCTGAAACAGAAATAGACAAAGAAGTTGCTAAAACTTTATTATATCATGTAGTGATGCTTTTTATTCGTGTTCGTTCACATTCACACACAAAGCAAATAAAAGAAAAATTCAAAAACAAAAAAAAAAATAACAAAAGCAGAATCTTTACGATCATCATTAAAAAAAATCAAATAAGATCAAGAAAAATATTTGCGATAGCTGAGATTTACAATCATATTTCCTCTCATCAGTATTTTATCAATCTATGCAGATGTATAGAAAAACCATATTTATAAGAGTATTATAGTTCCAGTTTATAATACTTATCAAACAACTATTTTCATAGCTACAAAATAAAATAATTACATTATTGGTTAGAAGAAATATTTTTATTAATTTATTATTTTGATCAACTTATTTATTTTAATCAAATGTTGTGTTTTTTCTCTTTACAAAATAATGTATGACATTCTTTAAAATTTTAAAAGTATAGGCTTTTATCAGCAATCAGAGTTAAATTATAATAGGTTTAGGTTAAATTTGATTTTTAAATAAACTAACAGTAATTTTGGGGAAGACAAATAATATCTACTGATAAACTAATTAAAAAAATGTTTAATGAAATAAGGTTTTCCAAAAAAAAAGATCATAATTCAATTAAGTTAATTTATTTTTTCTAAGTTTCTTGGGAACCGGTGTATCATCAATTACCCATTCATTAGTATGCTGTCTAACATTTCCACCAAGGGGTTGAATTGTAAATTGAGATTTTATGATATTATCATTGTATCCAGTGTCTTTAAGGTTAGGATTATCCCTACTGCAACCTATAGTTCTCTGCTTACCAAAGTAGTTCTTCAATGCGTCTTGACAAAATATTTCAGTTAATACGTATAAAAATCCTTTGCTTAGTAAGTATTTGCTTAGTAAGTATAACGCATTCAACTAAGGAGTTTACCGTTCTAGATAGACCTTCAAATGTCTGATTTGATATGAACATTTTATTAAGTTCTTTTTTAGAAAATTTTTCTGGC